CCCCCCGTGACTGAGCCACGGCGAGGGAGGGGAGACTGGCGTTTGGGAAAAAGAAGGAAGCCACGGCCGGGTCCAGCTGGGCTTAGTAGGTTACAGCAAGGCAGCTGGATTTTATTTGAATTGTAATGGAAGAGTAGTAAAGAGTTTATTGAAAGTAGGAAGGGAGGAGCATGAGCTGATAAACAATTTTTTAAAGCTTACTTGGGCCGCTGTGGGATGAGTGTCAAAGCCAGAGGACTCATTAGGAGGCTTTTGTAGTATTTCAGGCACAGATAAGGATGGTGGCCTGGGCAAGGGTCACCACTGTTAGGTGCTAGGTGCACGACCTTGGTTTTTGCCTCCTGTGTCGTCATCACCTGCTCATGAGGTGCCGAGCGGCAACTGTCAGTGTGCCGTGTGTGGCCACAGAGCCACGCTGATTTCCGTGTGGTGATCCGTGCCTTGAGGAGGGCCTCCTCGGTGTCACCACAATCCAGCTCACATTCTTCAGTGTCCTCTGGTTCCTGGCAGTATCCTCAGCTTGCTGGGTTTCAAAGGATGTATCTGGCAAGTTGCATTAGCCATTTGGTGTTTTTCTGGAAAACTCGAATTTGCTTAAATCTTCAGCCAGCACTGGGAATCTTTTTCCCTTTTATCTTTCAGTTATGTCCGAAGCTGTGTTGTCGCTCCCGTATGCAAATAATAGCCCAAATGCAAAGCTGGTGGAACCACTTTTGTCTTTGGTCATAATGCCACTCATTTTTTATTATAAAGTTGACATGACCTTAATTTTTAAAAATCTGCTGATCCCACTAAATTAGACTCAGAGGCTTGTACATTCTGTGGCATCTTCATTGAGATGCAGAGTTTAATTTGAAGTTGAATGTTTCTTCTTACTGGTCCTTTTGCCCGTGAAGGTCACAGAGTTGGGGACCAGAAGATGATAATCTAGCACTAAAGGGGGTGAGACCCAGTTGCCACAGCAGAGGGACTCCCTCCTTGGCCAGCCTGGGCGGGACCCAGCAGGTCTGAGTTCCTGAGCTCCCTATGAAGAGCCGGTGGGCCTCCTGGGTAAATTGTCTTAGAATCTGGCTTGCTGGCATTTGAAGGAGCGGACACACCCCTCCAAGAGAAGCACATCATTGAGATTCCCAGGCATCTCCCCCATTATTAAAATGTTCTTCTTCTTTCTGTACCTGTTGCAAAGAATTGTCCTTTGGTTCTTTTTTATTCAATCAACATTTATTAGATCCCTGATATATGGCAGGGACTAATAACTTGGCATATTAAGAGAGACATAATCCCTATCTGCACATTTCCCAAATTAGTAGGAGAGGCAAACATTAATCAGGTAAATCAGACAAGTAGAAATTGCCAACTGTGATAAGTATAGGGAACTGGGATTAGAATGAATGAATTGAGATCATTGAATAAATCTGAAAGTAATGCTTACATTTGAGTTTAATAATCATAATTCAAAGTTTCTCTAAGTGGTAAAACATTTATTGATTAAATGTGCATTTCAGCTGTTACATAAAAAAAATAAGTTGAAGTTTTTCTTATTCTTTTAAGTGACAGAGTTCTCTCTCAGTGAAAAAATCTGTAATAATAATGGCTAACATTAATTGAGCACCTACTATGTGCCAGGCACTGTTATCCTAAGTGCTTTGCCTGTGTCGATTCGATTAATGCTCAGCACGGGCTTATGCAGTGGGTAATATTAGGACTGACATTTTACAGATGGGAAAACTGAAGCATAGAGAGGATAAGTTCCTTGGACAAGGTCAAATGGCCAGTGAGTAGTTGGACCAGGGCTCTACACGCCTCGCAGCCGTGCCTGCTGTCTTTGTATCTAATAGTCTGTTCCGCATAGTGTGCCAGTTCTCGTCCAATCTTTCTGAAATTATCAGCAGAGCTATCACACCCATTCCTTTTTATCTTGTTACATTTCCTCATTAAGTAATAAAATATGTTTTGGTCTCTTTTACTAAGTTCCAGCAACTGATGTGATGCCATTGATCCAATCTCTGTAGGGAAAAGGCAGGGCCTGTCCATGAGCTCTTTATCATTTAGAAGGAATTTGGTAATTAACTTACAAATGTCATTAAAACGCAAATTGAATTACAGACTTGTGTTTCATTTAAAAGAGCAAATTCCGGGTGGCATTTTTAAGCACTCGGGCTTTAAATAGCTAATATTTCTCATGCTTTTTAAAATATTTAAATCATTCATCCTTATTTAATGTTTGAACATTTGACTATTTAAATTCAAAACTACCTTCTCTGTGGCTTTTCTTTTCTTTTCT